CGACACTTAAGATTTGAGTTCGCGAGCATTGACTTGGTTGTCTCGATTCTTATCAACTCGTATACCCAAGAGATGGCCCTTGTGATCTTTGCTCATGATTACGAATTTGAAGTAGACTTTGCCTTATGGATACATATGTTCATAATATGAAACTAAATTTGTACGACTTATTTATATCAACAATTGATAAAACTTTTGTATCGATTGTCAAAATGTTTAGTCGAATTTAATAATAGAGCTAATAGAAAGTACAATAGAGAAAGCATCTCCTTCTTTTCCTTTCATTTCAGATAGAATTCTAGCTTACTTCAAAAGTTTACATACAGATAGAAACTTTCAAGTAGTAAGCGTTTTTTGTAAAAGATACGTTAAGTAAATTTTAATTTTTTGGTTTTTTTTTTTGTATAAATTAAATACGCATGCTCTTAACATTATATTAAAACAAAATACATTTCTTGTAAATAGGGAGAAAAATTACCTGTTTTATATATAAAAAATTTTTTTTTTTTTTTTTTGATTATTATTATATTGTAAGGAAAATAGTTGTAGTAGAGAAAAGAACCGGTAACTGGAAATTTCGAATTTTGTGTGACAACAACAACAACTACAACAACGACTTCAACAAGAATTGTCGGCCAAATTTTGTGGTATAAAGTTTCCGGTTCTTTTATAAAAAAGCTGAAATGAAATAATACTATAAAAAAATAATAAATTAATTAAAACATATTAAAACAGAAATAAATAAAAAAAATAATAAAAAATAAAAATATACATACTATAAAACATCACATGGTAAACCTTTTACATATCCATCACCATTTTAAGTAAATTATATAAAAATTTCAATTTCTTCGTTTACGAAAAGCTGACATCGAATTTTTCAAATTTTCTTTATCAGCCATATTTCGAAATGTTTTTTTTTTTTTTTGTAAATATAATTAGTATAAACCCTTAGGGAATGTCCCCTAAGAAGCGGAGAAAAGGAAATAGATAGGGAAATGGCCGCGGGCCAGTGGGTATACGTTCTCAATCTGTAACTATTATACCTTTACCGACTAAGCACCAACTGAGTACAGCAACAATCAAAGTAAACTCTGCCTCTTAGTTCCTTTTTATCAGTGAAAAAATCTTGAACATTTTTAAATTAAATTCATGAAACCCAGTCCAAGTTATTTGGACGAAGCTTTTTTTTTCCTTTGCTATCACAACTTTATTTAACCTATAACCTATAATTCTAAACAACATCAAGGCATCTTTTTTTTCGTTGTGACTTCTGCGACTTGATAGCCTTTAGCCCGGAAGAATTAGCTGAACAGATTTTTACCACATTTTAGACTTATGCCGCTGAACCGAAGACTAATCTATGGGGATTATTTTGCATTAAATATGAAAACATTAAAATATTCTACGGTACTACAGGTCGATATATGATACAATTTATAATAATAATAATAATATATATGAACTATTTAATGTTTTTTTTTTTTTTTTTTTTTTTTTTCGCAATTATTTGGGCGAAAATAGTCAATTGTTGGAAATATGGACTGGCTTTCGGTTCTCACCTTTGTAAGAGTGTTTGTGGGTGAATCAGACTTAGTTCAGTTTTGATTTCGTCAAGAAGAGGAGAAGAGACATGTTGACATGGCTTAGCGTGGACGTACTTTAGAATGTTTGAAATATATTCTCCTAGATGATACGACAGAAATGAACACATTCTTGATCTCTTTTTAAGAGCAGACGATTTGAGAGTCATTTTCAATATAAAATTTAATTCTCAATTAATACGGACATAGAACTGATTTAAGTTTTTGAATTTATCCCTAGTTTTTTTTAATTGTTTTTTTTTTCTTTCTTTAAATAATAGCAGTTAAAAAAAACATAAATAAAAAAAATTTTTTTTCTATTTAGTTTTTCCTTAAAAAACGGTAATCATGCTAAAGTTCAAAATAAAATTAAATAATAATTTAAAAATTATTATTCTTAATTACATATAAAAAAACGAGTAAACAATATACACATAAAAAGAATGAAAAAAAAAAATTATTATTATATGTATATATATAAATACATATAAATATATAAATATGAATATAATTTCGATTATTATAATTTTACTCTACACATAATTTTATAAAAGAAACAAAAAAAATATATTTTTATATTTATTTCTATGTATAAAACAAAACGATTAACTGCTCTAGAACCTAAAGTTGACAGGCAGGCATAGTACAGAGAATAGTAGTAGTGGTAGTACTAGTAGTAGTAGTGGTAGTAGTAGAAGAGAGATTGTTTTACACACTACTTTAGATTGGATGGAGATGAAGAAACAACATCGCGTTTGTTTGTATTTTTTTTTTTTTTTTTTTGCTTGCATTCTTAGGGTGGGAGTTGTGTGGTTGTTCTACATCAAACACGTACCTGAAAGAAAAAATTGGTTAGTAAAAATTTAAAAAAAATTTGTTTAAAATTAAAAAAAAAAAAATTTTAATGTAAAGTAAAAATCAAGCTCTGGGGAATTTATTTAAAAAGGACTTTTGAGGAGCAATTAGGATTGAAAGGGAAATTTTTTAATTGTTTCTTTTTTTTAGTGTTATTTCTTATGAAAAATAAAAGGCCTTTTTGTTTTATTTGTTTTTTTTTTCAGAATTTATTTCTTGAATTATATTATTTTCAATATGCATGTGTTTTAATATGATTTATATATGCATATACATATACATATCTTTATACATATATATAGATGCAAGTATGTATATAGACATATATATGTATATATATATATATGTTTATGCAAGTGTCCGTGTTCAAGTGTTGTAAGTATTTATCATTATGTGTTTTTGGTGATAGTTAGTTATGCTTAAAATAATTTATTTTAGAAGTTTTTCATAATTGTTAATTTTTTTTGTTTTTTATTAACGACATACTATATGCGTTTGTGTTCCGTATTGAAGATAATATATATAAATTATATTTATTTTTTTTTTGTTTTTTTCAAATTCAATTTACAATATATTGCAATTAGAGTTTGTTTTATTAAACTGTTATGTTAGTTTATAGTAAAATGCCAAAATAAATCTGCATAATGTTCATATATATATATATGTTTATATATATATATATATATATATGTTTATGTGTATAAGCAAACATTTATTTATACAAACATATATACATACACATACATTCATATATGTGTATACAAACATGTATGTATATAACATGTACAAATACGTAAGTAAACACATATATACATTTATATAAACATACACACATTTATATATATATATATGCAATATATTTATAAACATTTGCATATATGTATACAAATATATAATATATATGTGTATAAGCAAATATATATCTATGTAAACATATATATGTGTGCGTGTGTGTGCAAACATATGTATATACATATATGTATATGTATACGTGTATAAACATTTCTGTATATACATACAATCACATACATAGACATATATACATAAATACATATATATGTTTGTATATGCATACGTTTTTACACACATACATTCGTATTTATATACATATATATATGTTAATATGCACATATATTTATGTTTATATACATATATACATGTTTATATACAGATAGATATACATGTTCAGATACAAATGTATATGTATTTATTTACGAATTTAATTGTAAATCGACTTAGAATTGATTTTTTTTATAAACTCCGTATATAGTAAACTTTTCATATTTTTCTTTGTGAAAACTTTTTTTTTTGTAATTCAGAAAGCTGGGTCGGGACAGAAAGGCCCTTGGAAAATAGCTTAGCTAAAGAAAGAAAGTTTCAAAACATTTTGTATCGAATGGCATATTTTATAGTCCCAATAAGTTGATTAAGACCACATTCTTACTCGAGCCAATTTTAGTTTTGAAAAAAAATTCAAAAAAGGAAAATTGTTCTATTTACAAATGAGAAGAGGGCGCGATTATTCAAAATATTGAAAAAAATGAAAATTGATGACATTATTTAATATGTTGGCATAAGAAAAATTTTATAAGCAAAGAGTTGTCTTTCCCTTGATAACACCCAAAGAAGGTAAGAAAGAGCTTCCATTGATAACATTTTAACTTACGTTTACGACACCCCCACAACGAAGGTAAGATTTTGAAATGATTTTGCAATGTCTTCCTGTCCGTCTGCCCATTCATCTGCCTATATCTGTTGGATTAGCTCATGGCTGCGAAATATTACCGTCCGTCTTTTTAACTGTATAGAGTTCTGTACCCATAATAAACAAAATATTGTCGTCTCTTCTAACAAAAGTTAAGTTATAACTTAAAGCAAATATTTATAAAAAGATCCTAAAAGCAGTATAATAAATAGCTCGAATACTATCCCTCAAGGATTTGTATATACTATGAAATCAAATCTGGCTTGGTTTCTAGTGCTTATTCTGTCCTTTTAGTCCTAGAATTTATTTCTTTGGTCTAGGTAAATTATACTAATAACGAAAAAAAAAATTATTATTTTTCTTTTTTGGACTTTTTACGATATCAACTCTTAGTCGATTTAAGTAGAAATTCAGCATATAATTATTTAAATTTGATTTTATATAAGCCTTTAAGTAATTTTATTGATTGATTTATTAATTTTTATTATTTTATTTTAAGTTTTTTTTTCTGTGTTCTTTTATTTATTTGTTTATTATACTATTTATATAAGTTTTATGTTAAGCCATTCCAGTTGAGTTAATTTATTGAGTTTTATGAATCTTTTTTATTGTTCTTAATGTTTATTCTTTTTTTGCCTAATTTATAGTTTTTGTTTATTTTATTTTTAATCAATTTTCTTTTTTTTTATCTCCATTTCCCTTGATTTTATTTCATCCGAATTATTTTAATAATTAATTGTTTGGCTTTATTCATTTATTTTCTTTTACAATTATTTTTTTAATTATTTATTTTTTTAGTATTTTTCTTTAATTTATTTTTATTTTGTGTTATTTTATTCATTATCGTTTTAATTTTTATTTTTAAGAAATTAAATTGATAATCGATTGACTAGAGAAGTATTTGTTTTTTGTTTTCAATAATTTAAAGTTTTCATAATAATTATAATAATAATTTTCTCTAAAAAAAGGTTTAGGGTTTCGACTAGGTTTGTATATATATTTTTTTTGTATTTTTTTTTTTTTGGTTTTTTTTAATAAACTCTAAGCTTTAAATATACATTTGCAAGACTGATAAATAGATAGATAATACATTAACATATTAAATATTGACAAATAAAAATAAACTAATTAAACTATATATATATATTTTTTTTTTTCATTTTTAAAGTAAGCCCTAAACAAACTTTTCAAGTATTTTAAAAAAGTTCTTTGTTTTGCAAATGACTAGCAAAAAGTAATTGTTTGTTTAATTTTTTTTTAATTTTTAAAATTAAAATAAATTGTAATTAATTAAAAAATGATTAATTCCATTGCCTGCAATAACGACTAGAAATTTCTGTTTCGTAATGAGAAATATTAGTTATGGCTTCGAAATGAAATTAATTAAAGTTAATGTTTTACATTTTTTTTTTTTTTTTTTTTTTGTCAATTCAAATATAAAATATTGTTAAGTAATGTTATAAATGTATTATGAACTTTGAGATAATATTTCGTAACTTTGGACAATCTTGAAGTCCTTTCACATTATATAGAAAATTATTAATGAATTAAATTGATATTTTCAATGGTTTTTGTTTTTTTTTGGTTTTGAATTTACAATTTGCATAATAATTGCTGGGTTCATTTTAAACAACTAAAGCCAAGCTTGTATAATATTTTCATAAAGAGATGTGCAATGTACATGCGTAAACGAAAAAATTATATAAGAAGATTTAAAAACAAACAATAAAACTTTATTTGATTGGATTTTAATAAAGAACATTTTAAAATTGCTTATAAGCTCAATGAAACAAAAAAAACAAACTGGGATAGTTGTACTAAGTTAAAATAACTTTGAACGCCTCGTGCGGTAAACTTCCTACGGGTTAAGATTAATTAACGAATATCTTAAATTTGAAAATGGTCTTAAGGACCAATTGCAGTATCAAAACAGAAAAAAAAAGAAGAATATGTTCGTATTAAAAAGGAACAAAACTTAATTGAGGTTAGATAACCAACATCTTGAACTTAAGAAAGATCTTAAGTAGAAATGAGGCTCAGTTACAAGATAAAAACAATTAACCTAAGTACTAGTATAAAGCCATTTAAATTCTTTTTATTTGAAAATTCAAAAAGCTACAAAATTCCTTCCCAATTGAGATTAAGTTAAAAAGAACATTTGTGAACTTGAGGATCGTAAGGTTAGAATAAGAAACATAGTGAACTTGGAAATCATTTTAAGAAGCGAATGTCTTCCAAATATACTAATATAAGAATAAATTGGGAGGCCATCTCGGGTTACTTCACGACAATGTGAACTTATTTCATAATAAAATTCTCTGAAGAAAAAAATATTTTTTCAAAATCATCACTAAACACTCTAATGTAGGTAGGTAAGAGATGTATAAATTGATATTTCATTCAAAATATTTTGAAGTTGTATTAAAAAAAAATAACTAAGAAAAATTTTTCATTTTTCCAATATTATTTTTAAGGAAATATATTAAAATGCGAAAAAATTTTTTTGCTTTTTTTTTTGGTTGCTTGTCAAAATTGTTCTGTGTTAAGTGTGCTCATCATTCATTCATTCAATCATCTTCTTTTCTTTTTTTTTTTAAATTTCAACTTGACATGAATTGACTTTTTTCTATAAACTATAGTTCATTAAATGTGAATATTTTGTATTAAAGATGCAGATACCTGAAAACCTAATCACTGCTTATATCTAAAATATTATATTTTTGAAAACTGACTCTTATTAACTAAAATTTCACATACAGCAAGCAAACAAATTCAAAGGATAAGAAGAATAAAAAATCGTAACGTGGTAAAACAAAAAAAAAAAAAAAAAAAAAAAAATTTAGAAAAAAATTGCAGAAAATATTATTAGCATATAATCAAAAACATATAACAAACAATGAAATTAATAAAAATGAATAAAATTATTTTTTTAATTAAACAATATAAAAAAACAAAAAATGGTTTTATAAAATATTAAAAAGAAAAGAAAAAAAAATGTTTATTAAAAATTTCGCTGAACGTTCTTCAAAACTTAAATGCAAATCTATTTGAAAGGAGAGAAAGACATTATACAAGCTTGTTACAGTTCTTTGCCCTTTTGGAATACTTATCTTGTTTCTTTAGATGAAAAATCGTTACAAAAAAAACGTTGACAACATTGCACGCCACAAAATTTTGTATAAACCTACACTCATCCATATACATACATTATATACTAATTTAAAAAGGAAAAAAAAAAAAAAAAAATAAAATAATAATTACGAGTTTTTCGTATGCACTTTTTCTCTTTTCCTCTTTCTCTCACCCTTTCTCTCATGGTCATGTTAATATCGTTTTCTATAATTTTTGCGACGTAGCATACGTAAGACTCGTTCTCGAACGTGTACTCACTTCTATTCACTTTTTTGTAAGACCAACGTATACGAAGTACTACCCTGTTCGGTGGCCCCCGTTGAAGACGAGGTCATCGTAGTAGTAGTAGTACTGGGTACAATGGTCGGATTATTATCATTTACAATAGCGGCAACGGCGGCGGCAGATTGACGTGACATTAATTGCGATTGAGATTGCGATTGCGTTTGTGATTGCTGTTGCTGAGACGATTGCTGCTGCTGCTGCTGCTGCTGCTGCTGTTGTTGTTGCTGCTGTGGTGATTGTTGGGCTAAATTTTGATTTGTTGCATTCTCCTCCTCGTTACGATCGCGGCATTTTGTGTTTAAATGACGTTTTAAGTTACTATGAACATTGGTGGCATAACCACACAATTTACTGCAAAAATAACGCGGTGGTTGGCCACATTCGTTTTTCAAATGACATTTTAAACTATTTTTCCATTTATAATTGCGATTGCAATTACGGCATACCCAGGGCTTTTCAATGTCAGCATTATAGATCATATCTTGGGAATGTTCGAGGGATTCTTTGCGCATGCGTTGATTTTGTACCAAAATACGATAACGCTTATCCTTAGAGAGCATAGATTGATAATCAGCGGATTTCATATTGGATACATTTCTGGGGGTCTCGAGTGGTTTAGGAGTAAGAGGTGCCAAGGGCGGTGCCGTGGACCGAGGCATTTGCGGTGTAATAGTAGTTATTGTGGCCGGTATGGAATGTAATTTAATTTGAACCGGTAAATTGGGTTTAAGCTGTAAATTCTGCAAGTGTTGTTGTTGTTCTAATAATTGTTCCGGTGTCTGCAGTTCGATATGGGTTACAGCCGCTGCTGGCGAATTCATGGCTGATGATTTTTTCATTAATAAAGTGCGCCTTTTACGTGGCATATTGTTAGCATCATTTGACTCAGCAGCTAATTTAGCTGAAGCCGCTGCTGTTGTCAATAAATCTTCATCGGCGAGATCCTGACCAGCTGATAATATATCTTCAAATTCTTCTTCTTGCTCGATTTTTACAGCATCTAAAGACCATTCCATGGGACTGGATAATTTAATATCATAGTTTAATTCAGTATCATCATCATCGGGTTCCTCGCTCTCTTCGTGTGCTTCTTCGTCTTCATCATTTATCGATGAAGCGGAATTTTCAATTTTCACTATAACTTCTGTCATGCTATCGTCGACAGTGTCCAGTTCAACACCGGCAGCAGCTAACGCGGCCGCAGTATTCATACCAACACTACCGTTATGCGAACCGACCACCGGTCCCGTACCAGCGGGTGTTATACAAGCTATAGTAGTACGACCAATGCTACCAATACGTGTCATAGTTGCCTGTGTATTCGGATCGAGAGTCATCTTCGGTTTCAATTGTAATAGGGGTGGCGCGGTAATTTGATTACAATTGGATCCTCCGGCACTACCACAACTTGTACTGGTAGCTACATTCGTAGTTGCGGTATTAGTGGTAATTGATGTTAGTCCAGCCTCAATGTTATTATTGTTATTATTGTTCAGGGTTAAGGATTCTGGTTTAGTGGTAGTAGTATTAAAGGTGGAATTAAAGTTAGTTTCGATAAGAAAGAATGTTTGTTAAATTTTGTATAAAAATTTTTGTTTTGTTTTTTTTTTTAATGAAAAATTAAAATAACTTTTTGTTTTTGGCAAAAAGAAAAGGTAGCGTTTTAAAAAAAAGAAATATTTAAACAAATACCAAACGAGTTGAGATAGAGCAAAAAGCCTACGAATAATTACAACAAAGTACTGAAAAAAAGAAAAACAAAATTTTAAGAAAACAACATAAAGTAAAATTAAAATTATTTCAAGATGATAGAAAAGATTATGAAAAAAAGAAAAAACAAGATAAATATATACAAACTATAAATAATATTAAGTTATTCAATAATTTCATTAAATTAAAGAAAATCTTTTGTAAAAATATCGGTTCAATCCGATACTTAGATATAAGCCACAGCCGATAGCAGTGAACTGAACGAGTAGAAAATTATAGATAATGGAAAAGTTCAAGATATCAAGATATCAAGGTTCAACGATTTTCTAGTCTTAGATTTTTGTATTGTTGTGGAGAGACAAGTCTACGATGATCTATTTTTGCCGGAGTTATCCATATGAGGAAAGAGAAAGGTATAGAGACGTGGGAATCGCAATCTACTGGGTGTCTGGCCAATCGTTAAATGTTAAGCTTTGATCTAAACTTCATACATGGAAAGCATTTTATAAAGAAGCCACCACATAGAAATCGTTTACCGCTAGAAAGTGGACAAGTAAACTTATGAATCGCATATCTGAAGTATAGTTAAATGTTCCACAGCGAGTGTCTGGGCATTTTCGATTAGTCAATATAAATTACTACTACAACAACAAACTATGGTAACAATGATCCGTTTCCGAAAATGAGACCTATAACTTCATCCACTTTGATGGTGAGTGCTTTTACCATAAAGTCAAAGATTTCTAAACGCTTGAATCCTCTAAAGTGAAAGGCCTTATCCATCCTGGTTCGTGATTAACCGGTGTTTCTATGGTGCTTTCATGTTTAAAGTGTTTGAAATTTTCATGTCTACGGCTAATGCTCATATCGGTTGAAATACACTTTGTAACTAATAAACATATATATATATATATATATGAATCTATGAAATGATAAGATTGCGTCCATGAAAAAGTAACATTTGCGATCAAGGATGTTGAACACTAACGCCGGCCGAAGTAGAAGAAGGAGAAGAAGGTTAGTCTTCGTAGAAGAAGCATATATTTGTTTTTTTTTTTTTTTTTTTTTGAAAAATCCATAATTTAAGGGGACAAAGACAACTCTATATTATTTTCCTAGAATATTCTTCCTACTTGGAAAGATTTCAACTTTCCAAATGTTAAATTTTTCCTTGAACATTAACATATCAAATATAGGATAGCTAAACAAACAAATCGTCCAAGCAAATAAATTAAAGAATAGTAAGCCTGCGCTTATTTTCATTACATACTTCTAACACTTTTAGGCAAAACATAGTTATTATGTATGCTTTGCTAACTGCAAGTTCCACATATTTGCCTTAAGGGCTGTTGAATAAATCTTTTCAACACAAAATGTAGTAAAGAAAACAAAATTTACTTCGACGCCTAACGCGATTTTAAATTTAATATCTTTCTTTCAGATTTGCAGGCAACCGCTTGACACAGGTACTATCGCAAGACTACCTATATGTACCCGCGCAAGTTAACTTACAATATTGGTTTTACTTTTTGATCACAGTATTATAAGAGAATTTTTCCAAAGCATTCTTCAACAAAGCACAAGAACCTTTACATATTCATGTTCGATACCTCAACATATGCTGAATAGCCGTAAAACTGATATCGGAACATTTTCTTATGGCTATTATTACGAAAATTGAGAGAAGATTTTAACAAATATAAGAAGAGAACACACTGGTTTCTTTTATGACTAGTGACCGATTGAAGTCCAAAGTCAGAATATACCCCTAAATTTTTTTTATGGATTCAGTAACAAGGAAATGTATTAATTTAAAGATTTTAAACGGAATTCTTTCGACATCGAAACTTGAAATTGGGGACGCGCATGCGCATATAGAGTAGAGTAGCACTTAAGGCATAGTTTGCCCGCATACGCTAGTAATTCAAACAACTTTGAAGAAATATCGATAATTTTTCTATCATTTCATTAACTGCTTATGATTAGATCAAAATTTACCATAAATACTTATGATAGCAAGCCATTTACGAGTTGCATTGAACAATGGTATCGAAGACGTTTACTTTTTTTTGCATTTTGAAAGGCATCATAGTTACTTAAACACAACAGAATAAATTATAACAAACATAATGAGAAGACTGCTAAGTCACATTTAAGCGTACTTGCGAAAGTCATCAAACCCGGAATCGATCATTCAAACCTAAAGAAACACATTATTAACCCTTAAAATTTTAAAATTAATTGGAACTGGAATGTAAACAATTGGCAACAATATGCTTTTAAGGTTTGAGAATCGTTAAACGCCGAATTCAACCGTCCATGTGCGGTTACCTAAGTTAACCGAGATTTGGATCATGGACAAAGACAAAGGCCCTCCGTCGCGAATTGAAACTAACCAGCCAATCGACACCACACGGCTACTCCAAAATACATTCTGAGAAGAAATTGTAATTGCTCTCTTGTAGCATTTTATGGTGGAAATCGCTGTAGAACGCAGACTTGACATATAAACTTATTGCATTAACTTTGGAGCATAGAAGTCTATTTTTCGGATCTTAACTTCTATATAAAAAATATTCTCATGAAAAGACAACAAGATATCTTAGATAAATAGATGAAGCATTTCGTAAAACGAAACAATGGTCAATGGGCAGCCTCGGCTGATCATGAGGTTGTAGTTTGTGAGCAAACCGAGAAGTTTTATTTAAGAATAAACGGAACGAGTTCAATAGAAGTTTTTAGGATATATTCTACAGTAGTTACTGCGTCTATCAGCTTCGTGGGATATATCTAATTACGGATATATATATATGAATAATCATATATCAATAAATATACATACATATATGCACATATATACACATGTAAATATGCACATATATATATATATATATATATATATGTTCATGTGTACACATATATATATTTATATAAATTAATATAAAAATAATATTTCGAATAGAAAATAATTTTTTTTTTTATGTTTCACATACCGCTTGAGGTTTCATTGGCTGCTGTTTTCTCGAGAACCGATTGATCAGCCAACATTATCCAATTCCGTACCCGTATGCGCGATTCACTTTGCGTAGAATTAATAGAACCAGTAAGAGAGGCAGCGGTAGTATTACCGGCAACCATTTTACTATTAGAAGCATTGCTGACATTGAGATCATCTTGGGCAGAGAAAATTGTATCTAAAAATTAAAGAAAAAGAAAAAAAAAGAAAAATGTATTAGTAAAAGAAAAAATTAAAAGAATATAAATATTTTTAAATGAAAGATTTTTTTTTTTATTTAAATTCTCTAAATCGAATTTCATTAAAAAAAATCGGTGCAAGTAGTTTTTTTTTTAAATTTTTTATTTTAATAAAATGTAAAAAGTAAAAAATTTTTAGAGAAATATAATTTATTAAATACTCACTTTAAAGAAAATGCTAAAAATTATAAAAGAAAATATAAAAAGCAAAAAAGCTACAAAAATTTAAAAAAAACAAAAAAAATTAAAATAAAAAAAAATTGTACAAATAAATTATGGAAATATTTAAGACGAAAAACTTGAATATAAAGAAATTTTTGAGTTTGTTTTTTATAGCTTTATTATACATTATTTAAAAAAATTAAATATTTTTACAAATTTTTTTTTTTTACACATATAAAAAATTACATTTAAAATAATATTTAAAAAAAAATTGTAGTTCACGCATAGAAAAGGAATAAACTTAGATAATAATATGTTTTAATGAGTATTTCTTGTGTTGCAGTAATTTTTTTTTTTTTTTTACAATTTTCAAGATAAAAACAATCTATACTTAGATAAAAAAAAAAAAAAATAATAAAAAAAAAAGTATATGTAAAATATTGAGAAAATTACAATTTCTTGTTTAAATAATTTTGTCATTTTTTTTTTTTTTTAATAAGTATATTTTAAAAGATTACTTTTAAAAATGAATAAATTAAAGAATTTATTATTAATCCCAACACCAATCAGAACCAATTTTTATAATTGTTTTTAATTACTCTTAATAATTTGTATTAAACATGTTTTTTTTTATTTTTTTTTTTTTAAGAAATTTCTAGGTAATGAAAACCCTCATTTTTTTTGTTGTTTTACCAATCGTCACTAAAAATGTGATTAAATAATTATTCGGGAAAGTTATTGATATCATATTTTAACTCGGAAGAAATTTCTGAATAATTTCACGTATTAACTAAGAAATTGTTTAAACATTCAACCGTCAAACAAATTTTTGGAAAGCATCTAAAAATAAATGTTTCGCTTTGAGGTGAATCCTACCTAGAAATCTTCTGGGTGTCTTTGCTTTTAATCTCGCCTTAAAAAGCATTTGAAAGTTTTCACCGTAAGATAAAAATTGTTTGCCTTTACGTTAGAAAGCGTTTGAAAGGTAAGTCTTAATACGGCTTTTCTTAGCAACGGGCGTTTTAGTTAAATTGGATAGTTCGGTAATAGGTTATCCGATAAAGTTTGCATTTATACCTCTCAAGTTTATGCACAATTTAGTCATTTTTGGTGAGTGTGAGAACCAATTAAGTCCATCTAACTTCTGAATATTAATTAAAATTATATAGAACATAACTATTGGAAGAGTTTTGCGCCACAATGTTTGGAATTTTGTGACTAGCAGTCACCTGCAAAGAACTGAAATATCAATTAGAAACTTTCAAGTACTTTACTAATGGTGGACGTGTCAGCAAGCAGGCTACTATTTTATAAAAACATCTCCCAAGACCGGAGAATATATTTGAAGATCGTTTTATAATAATAAAGTCCACTTGTTTTGGATGTGCTCATGGGCTCATGATCGTACTTGGGGTATAAGGGTATAGGAAGTTTGTGCAGATGTATGCAATAGACTCAGAAGAACTTCAGAATCACTTTTTGAATCGATTTAACCTTGTCTGTCCGTCTGTCCGTCGTTTGTGCTATACACTGACTTGTTTTGATTATATGGCGAACACTTTTTGAATCCATTTTGGCTTGTGTGTCCGTCTTGTTTTCTCGCATTTACCCTAGGGGCCGCATATTTGGAGATACTTTCACGAAATTTGTTACATTGGCTAATGAGTGGACGCTATTGAAAATAATTCGGATCAGACCAGCTTTTCGGTCACTTCCCACATTATGCCTTATTTTGAAATGCTGTACGGTAACGTAGAGTATTTTACGGCAGGCCGCAACCTCTAATATAATTTTTTTCCTTGTTGATTCTCCAATTCAGTTGCTATAACCGTTTTATAATAATAGATTTGCAGATTCACAAGCACTTACGGAACAATTGTATATAGTAATCATAAGTAGATGTAATCAATAAAATGTGCAACTTAAACACATATATTGTGTGTGGCTGTGTGTGTGTGTGTGTATATATATATTAAAATAAATTGTAACTCAATAGAGGAAAAAGCTCCGTTATGTCGACTAAGAATACTCCTAAATCGCCCGATATGACTTCACGTAAAACAGGACGCATATGGTAAGTGATTACTTTCAAATTTTCCTTTTAACTAGAATTTAGCATAAGACAATGAGTACAAATGTATTAAAGAAAGAAACAGTGGTTGTGGCGCGTCCTATATGTATATATATAAATTGGAATGTTTCATGATGTAAAAAAGTATTTAAATTTAAACTCTATATAAAGTATTTTGAAATAAATAAGAAAAAAATATATTTTTTTTTTTTTGAAATAAATATATATATATGTATGTATATATATATATATATGGATATATGCGGAATTAACTTAGTACTATAAAAAAAGGAAGTATTTAAAAGAAAAAAACGCACACATTTTATAAAGTAGTTTATAAAAAAAAATAATAATCATTGGAATATTAATAAACTATTTGTGACGTACATTGTATAGTTTGAGCTTAACAAGTATAATGATCGAAACGAGCATTTGTTTTCATAATTTATTCTATTGAATGTAGGAGCGTCGGGAGGATACGTTGAAGCGCAGCTTCTTTTTCTTTTCTATTTCAATTATTTTTAAATAATATTTTACACACAAACTAAGTACCTGAGGTTTTCTTTTTTTTTTTTTAATTTTAATAACCGTTAATTTTTTTTTTTTTTTTCTCTCTTTTTGTTTCGCTTATTTCCTACATATGTCAAAAATTAAATATATTTAAGAGTAATAAAATTATGGCTTTATAAAATCAATTTTAGGATTTTTAGTTAAAGACAAAAAATCATTTCCGAAAATCTTAAATTACTTTAAATACTAAATTACACCATTTGTATGTTATGCTGCTTTCAAAAGAAAATTAATGCTAAAGTTGATTTGAAATAGAGCAAAAAATAAAAAAGATTTTGTAATCCTAGGAACAAAATCTTAGATCTGATATGATATAAATGAGTATAAATAAATATCAGCTCACTGGCCTTATATTGCTTTACATCTGTATACGGTTAAGTCAGTTAGGTTGTCCAATAACATTTTATTAAGAATTCACTGCGAAATATTTCCAAAAAAATTTTAGAACAATCGATTTTCTATAAGTTGGATTTTTTTATGCCCTTCAAACACGTACAAATCTATCTTGAATTTGTGGGGATGTATGCAATACCCAGAATCACATTTTGAGTCGAAGTAAGCTTGTCTGTCCATCTGTTCGTCAACTTACAAGCGGCAACTTTTGAACAATATTGATGAATTTTGGTACAGCAACCGGTTTTTGAATGCCACCACTTTCGCCTTATTTAAAAGGTCCTTACATAAATAGCTGTGTTAAGTGCAGTGATGTAAGATACTTAATAGTGGGCCGGGGCTCGATATAACATTTTTCCTTGTTTACCTCTTGCGGTTTTATGACGAAAGACTAATAAATTTTTTCCTTACACTGCTACGAGTATCGAGTTATTAAATAAACATTTACCGTGAATTGTGAGTTGCTCTTCTTTCTCTTGTGTAATAATTTTTTTTAAGAATGTCACCTTTTGGAACCGTAAGCATTCTAACGGACATAAGTATATGGATTTAGTATACATAACTCAGAAGCTCTCTAATGTGTTCCACTAAGCGAAACGAAACAAGCCGATAAATTCAATATCTTCGATTCTTCAGTGGCAGAAGCCACTTTTTCTTTTTTTTTTTAATTTACTCCATTTCAAGTCCTCTTTTTTAGAGAACTTTCTTTTTGCCAGATCCGTCCTTTTCCCTGTCGTGCATGGTATTGTATATGAAGGCTTGGGTTTATGCTTTAGAGCTGAACAGTCTTCAAATCATTTGAATTGCGCACTTAATCATTTAGAATATCTCGGGATTAATCGAAGAAAAAATATAATTGTAAAACTTATTTTTGAGCATTTTCTATAAAAGACTGTTAAGGACATTATAAGTTATTTTTTTAATATTTGGAAAAAAGTTTTACAATTTTTTTTTTAACATGACCAATCACTCAGGAAATGTCTCCTATTCTATGCGATATGGTGACGGTAAGAACGAATTGAAGAGAGGGAAAGAGATGGAGGGAAGTAATGGCTTTGTGATCGACTGAGCACTCATCTCAGCCATACCTTCGAAATATTCCATTTGAAAATATTTAAAATTACGTATCTTAATACTCGGATTGTGAAAACAAATTATATCTATTCATTATTATTTTAAATCAAATTCTTAAATATTTTCAATAGAAGAAAAAAATATTGTAAAACATTCATTAATTATTATTTTAAAGATAGAAGACGAAGAAGAAGAATTTAGAAATTTTAATTGAAAATACTTAAAAAAAAAAATATTTCAATTTTTAGAAAACGAAAAAAGTCTGGCCTTCTAGACCAGAGCATATCTAGGCTAAACTATCGGCTCTAGCAGCTAACTTTTGCTTTTAAAGCATTTATCGTAACTTCACATTGTATTTTAAAAATTTTGAAGATTAGATTTTCATCAATTTCAAAATGTTTTTGTTGTCCTTTCGACGAAACTTGAATTGGGTGTCGCTTCGACTTCAACACAATTAAAAACATACATATAAGAGCGACTAAGGAATGCATAAATTTGAATAAAACCAAATTTGACCGTCCGTCCATCTGTCTGCTTTTAGAATTAAATCATTAATAAATCAGGAAATATTGAAATAGAAAACTTTCACTTAGTACATCGGTAAGATGCTGATCTACTTCAACTTAGCAGTTAGTTGAGGACTACAAAGTTTGAAATTGTGAGGCTTCG